ATATTTTAGTTTTGTGGTCCATATGGTCTCTGTTGTAGTTGATCAACAATACCATTGTGGTATGGAAACAGCCAAAGACAATATGTAAATGAATGAGCATGAATGGTATAAATAAAACTTTATTTACAAAAACAAAAGGTGGCTGCCAGCTTCTACTCTACAGGAATGTACTTTTGTTTTGAATTAGAACCCCAGCTTTGCTAAATTACATACTGGTTTATAAATTTTTTTTCTAATGGAGATGAAAATAATCTCAGCCTGTTAAAAAAAATAATTCCAAAGGCTATGGCTTTATTGTCTTGAAGGACATTAACCAGTTTTTAAAAAATCTAACAAGAAATCTTATTCCAACATTCTTTTTGCAGTGCTTATATAATATAAATACTCAGCCCTTTGCCTAGCTGCAAGCCAGATCTACCATCTGGCCGGTTCCCTCATTAATGCGTTAAATAAATCTTTAACACATGTTCACTTTATATTTGTATGACAGTCATATTTTATTTTAACTCTCCGAAAGTTATACTGTACTTTAACAGTGGACAGTTTTAGGATAAGATTGTTGGAGTAGTTCAGAAAAGACGCAGAGGTGATAGAGATGGAGACTCTGAGATATTTTCAAGATGTTTAAGAGATATAGTTGATAGGACTTGATCACTGATGATATGGAGGAGTGAAGAAAAAGATAGAGAATGAATGAGTCCCAAATATAGCTTGATATGATGACTAATAAGTGACATTGCTATTTATAGAGCTAGGGAATGCTGTTACAGAATATTCCCTGAATCTCCAAAAGTTTATGGCAATGTCAGTAATCTGCAGAATAACTAAGGTTCTTCTAGGTCTGGGCCTTCTCAATCAATCCAGAAGTCCTAGGATCTGATCACATTGGGCCATATTACTGTTGATAAGAACTGTTCCTTAACACTGTGTCTTTTTTCCCAAGCATTTTCTTGTTTTATCCTAACCCCATCTAGGGATGCTATCTGAGTTTCCTTATTAACTCTATTTTGGTGAGAAATTTTAACAACTTAGCCGAGACTACATAATACAGAAGATGAGAATCTAGAACCTGGCCCTTGTGAGCCGTGGTCTAGTGATATTTCAATGGAACTTTGGAAAAAAATCTCAGTGACAGCTTACTAGGTTGTGAACTCTCTAAGGTCAGGGACCATGTCTGATTTTGTTCATTATTATGCCCCTGGCATATGGTAGATGCTCATCAAATATTTAAAAAAAGGAATAAATGGATGAACTCAGTCATTGACAAAAAACATTATTTTGAGAGTCAAAGAGTCTGGGTCTGAGACTGTTTCCTGAGCCAAAGCTTAGGGAGTCTCTTGGATCAGAGAAGAATGAAGTCTTTCCTGTTTTTTAAAATAGATAATGATTATTTCTAGAACTAGTGAGGACCTTAGATTGGAAGATAACATTTGTTTTTATCACAGCATTTCATGGCATTTCCAGCAGCTCCTGAAAGGAGAGAGAGAGAGAGAGGTGTTAGAGGGAGCCCACTCAGTCCAGCCTTATTCTGGGCACTAGGGCTAGGACTGACTATGATGCTTGCAGACATGTGGTGGAGTGGGCAGAATCCTAGGGGGAGAGCCAGTAGAACTCAACTGTGCCACATAGTAGCTCTATGAGATGATCAAGTTTCTTTGCCTCCTGAACCTTAATTTCCTGTCTGTAGAATACAAAGTAAGGGTTCCACAGGAAGACCTCAACATCAGTCTGGCTGCTGGGAGGAAGCAGGTTCTAGCTTAGATGGTTTGAGAGAGGTTAATGAAGAACCTAATCATGGGGATGTGGGCAGGGTTAAGGGAACCAATATGAGATGTTGAGCTGCCCAGAGGCTAGCAAGAATGGGAAGCCATTACTACTCAAGCAGGAACAGTGAGGGAGGAGAATAGGTTTCTGGGAGCCCACCAAGAACTGGAGGAAGGACCACCCACAGGAGGTTATAGTCAGGGAAAGGCTTAGCCTCTTCTAGAAATGTATACCAAGGCAGGGAGGAAGCCAGAGGAATACCCTGGCCTCTTTCTCTTCTGCTCCAATTTCCTGCAGGCACCGCTGAGTCATGTAGCATGAGTGCCATCCTCAGTAGCACAAAGCGGGGAAGAGAGAGTGGAGAATAGATCTGGGAGGGGGTAGAAAAATGGCAAAGAACCAGCCCAGCCTCTAAGTCCCCTCGTCATCTGACCATTATGTCATCCTGTGAAACCGTCAGCCACCCTTCCTTAACCAATCTCTCTATTCCAGACAGTGTGTTTGGGGAGCTATGCAGTATTTCACATTTCTGCCTAGATGCTGGAAAATCAAGGTAAATGAGGGCTGCCTCCAGAGGCTAACTCAGGCTTATGTGTCCCAATGTATGTCTTTAAAAAAAACTTTTATTTCAGGTTTGGGGATACATGTGAAGGTTTGTTATATAGGTAACATGTTATATGGGTAACATGTCATGGAGGTTTGTTGTACAGATTATTTCATCCCTCAGGTATTAAACCTAGTACCTGACAGTTAATTTTTCTGCTCCTCTCCTTCCTCCCACCCTTCACCCTCAAGTAGACTTCAGTGTCTGTTGCTCCCTTCCTTGTGTTCATGACTTCTCACCATTTAGCTCCCACTTATGAATGAGAACATGTGGTATTTGATTTTTTTATTCCTGTGTTAGGATAATAAATGCTAAGGACAATGGCCTCCAGCTTTATCCATGTTCCTGCAAAAGACATAGTCACAATTGTTTTATGGCTGCATAGTATTCTATGGTGTATATGTACCACATTTTCTTTATCCAGTCTGTCACTGATGGGCATTTAGGCTGATTCCATGTCTTTGCTATTGTGAATAGTGCTGCAGTGAACATTTGTGTGCATGTGTCTTTGTGGTAGAGTGATTTATATTCTTCTAGGTATATACCCAATTATGGGTCACTGGGTTGAATGGTAGTTCCATTTTTAGCTCTTTGAGGAATCACCATACTGCTTTTCACAATGGTTGAACTAATTTACGCTCCCACCAATGATGTATGTTTCCTTTTGTCTGCAACCTCCCTAGCACCTGTTACTTTTAGACTTTTTATTTAATAATAGCATGTATTAGTTTGTTCTTGCATTGCTAAAAAGTACTGCCTGAGACTGGGTAATTTATAAAGAAAATAGGTTTAATTGGCTTATGGTTTCACAGGCTGTACAGGAAGTATGGCTGGGAGGCCTCAGAAAACTTATGATCATGGTAGAAAGTGAAGGGGAAGCAAACACATCTTCACATGGCCAGCAGGAGATAGAGAGAAAAGAGGGGAGTGCTACACACTTTTAAACAACCAGATCTCATGAGAAGTCACTCACTATCATGAGAATGGCAAGGAGAAAATCTGTCCCCATGATCCAGTCACCTCCCACCAGGTCCCTCCTCCAAAATTGAGATCATAATTCAATATGAGATTTGGGTGGGGACACAGAGCCAACCCATATAATAGCATCCACAAGGATCTCAAACAAATTGACAAGGGAAAAACAACCCCACTAAAAAGTGGGCAAAGGATGTGAATAGACATTTTTCAAAAGAAGGCATACAAGCAACCAACAAGTATATAAAGAAAATATCAATATTACTGATCATGAGAGAAATTCGAATCAAAACCACAATGAGATAACATCTCACACCAGTCAGAATGACTACTGTTTAAAAGAAAGCGTAATCCCAGCTACTCAGGAGGCTGAGGCAGGAGAATTGCCTGAACCCAGGAGGTGGAGGTTGCGGTGAGCTGAGATCGTGCCATTGCACTGCAGCCTGGGTAACAAGAGCGAAACTCTGTCTCAAAAAAAAAAAAGAAAATGTGTGTTTTATTGTCTGTTTTTCCTCTAGACTTAACTCAGTGAAGTCAGGAATGATGTCTGTGTGGAGTCTGTAACTCCTAGTACAGGGCCTGGGTCAAGGCAGTCTCTCAATAACTGTTTGTTGAATGGATGAATACATGAATGAGTGGTCATGTTCTTTGTGATTCCTTTCCTGTCTCTGGCCTGTGACAGCGTAAACCACTCCCTCCTCTGTGCTGCCTCTACACCCCATTTTTACATCTTACTTCCCTTATAATGCTGCATTGTAATGGCTGTGACTGTGAGCTCCTCAAAGGTAGGAAGCTTATTTTAGGCAACACAGTTTCCCCAGTATGATGAGGCCAGGCAGAGATCAAGTGCTCATTATATGTTCCTTGAATTGACTGAAAATATTTATTCAGCTAGTCTAGGCTCTATAGAGGAGCTGAGAGCTCCATCCCTTATTATAGTTAATCTCCCACTTCCTTTTCCTCTTCTCTGCTTGCCCACCCCCAGGCACATCCTCACTGGCTTGTTGTAAATTCCATTTCTTGCATCTTGATAGGTTAGTTCTTGGCAACCTGACCTGAGCATTCAAATAAATCATTTCCTGGAAATTTGAGGTGCCTCTGGCTATTACAGGACTAGCTTTTAAGGGAATATAGTAAGAAGGTTCACTGAGTACAGCTTACGTAAAAAGAAGGTATAAAGAGGAAAGCACTGGTTATTGATATCCCTTTTCAAGCCAAGCTGTATGGTTGGAGGGTGAGAGCCCTGGTGTGTGCTGAGTACCATGCTCCATGCCAGGGGCTGGAGGCACAGAGAGGAAGACAGATGTCCTAGCCTTCATGGGGCTTACATTTGAAAGGGGGAAGATATTACACTATATTATAAATGTCTTTCCATCAATTCTTGGAATTTGCCAAATTGTCCTATAGATGTACCTGCACATCTACAACATGATAGGTGTACGATTTGCATTTTCAGCAATGGGGAAAGAATAAGAAAAGAATAAGGAAACTCTGTACCCTGACAGGGAAGGACCTCCAATGTAGAATATGAAGTGACCAGAGCAAGGAGAAAAATGAGAATGCACAGTTGGCCCTTGAACAAAACAAGTTTGAACTGCATGGGGCTGCTTATACTCCTGAGATAATAAGGCCAACCCATTTTCTTCCTTCTGCTCAGCCTGCTTAACGTGAAGATGATGAGGATGAAAACCTTTATGATGATCCACTTCCATTTGATGAATGGTAAATATATTTTCTCCTCCTTGTGATTTTCTTAACATTTTCTTTTCTGTAGCTTACTGTATCATAAGAATACAGAATATAATACATATAATATACAAAATATGTGTTAATCAACTGTTACTGGTAAAGCTTCCCATCAACAGTAGGCTATCAGTAATTAGGTTTTGGGGGATTCCAAAGCTATATGCAGAGTTTTGACTGTGAGAGGGGTTGGCGCCCCAATCCCCAAGAGGTTCAAGTCAACTGTAGTCTGCTCTTTTCATGTTAGAAAGAAGGAAAGTCAAAATACATGTTTTTGTTTGCCTAAAGTGAGTCTAGAAGGATACACAGGAAATTAATAAAAGTGGTTACCTGTGTAGGTGAGGAGAGGCGGATTGGACGGGGCAGGATGATAGCCAGATGCTCATAGTTCTACCATTTTATGTTTCAGTTTTTGAAACGTAGAAAAATTACTTGATTACCTTTGATGTGACGTAATAGGGAAAGCATAGGTTGCCCATAGGAGAGCACATAATCCAGTCTGAAGTTAATGGGGAAGGCTCCCTGGAGGAGGTGACATTTAATCTGAGGTCTAAGATCAGTTGGAGTTGGCCAGAAATGGGGACTGGGGAAATTCCCTTCAGGCAGAGAACAGCCCTCTGAAGACCTTAAAGTGAGAGAGTGCGGGGAATTCAAGGAATCTGAAGAAGTCCATTATGTCTGGGCAGAAATTATAAGGGGATATGGGCAGAAATTATATGGGATTATGATAGGAGGAGAGGGATTGACATTTAGCAAGGACTAACTTTTGATTTTATCAATGGCGGCTGCAGCCTACACATGCCGTGGGTTTCTTATGTAGCAGGCACCTTACTAAGCCTGCCACATGCAATCCCTTATCCATTCCTAACATGAGCTAGGCACTTATCATTTCCAGACAGAAACAGGAACTCTGAGAGTTTCAATAACTTCCTGGGTCAAGCAAGGGGCAGATGGCAAGCCAGCACATCTGCTCCTCTGCCCAGTCATCTATGCAACTCATCTGAACTCATAGGTGAGATGCATGGGTAGCCCCTAGTCCTAGGACAGACATATTACAGGGACATGGCCAATCTCATCTACTACTAATTGGTGCTTCCCCAGGTCTGGAAAGATTGCTCAAAGCATTCCATAAGCCTGGTGGAAAGGGTTGAGTTTTAAAGAAAATAAGACTCAGCAGCTTTAATTTCTTATTAAGAGATCAAAAAAAAAAAAAAAAAAGATTCTAAAGAAAGGGATTGGTGGAATGGTATTAAATCCAGAGCTTCTACATATAAGATTCCTAAACCCCCTTCTTTTCCAGGAAGTTCATTTAATGAAGGTGAGGCTGAGCAGAGTGGCATTGAGCACCAGCTCCCTGCCAGGCACTCTGCAGGCCAATGCCACCTACATGACTCAATTACTTCTCACCAGGACTAGCGTTATCCCCATTTTACAGACAATGAAACAGGCTAAAGAAAGTTAACTGGTTTGCTCGAGTTCATAAAGGTAGGAAGTGTTGAACCAGGACTTGAACCCTGGTTTCTGGATGGATGACAGAGCTTTTCTGTTCTAACATATAGTCAGGTGATCAGGAGATGAGTAGGGTATGAAGAGAGCTATGATTCATTCTAAATCTATGGCTTGGTGAGCACACAGAGGAGGGGCTGAGCCATTTTAGAAAGATGACAAGGTAACCCTTGATTGGAGTCCTGAGGAACATGAAGCTGTTGGCCAGAAGGAGAGAAGAAATGGTGCTCCAGGAAGAGGGGCCAGCAAGACAAAGCTTTGGGGGCACAGGACCTGTGGCTCCTGTAGAAATTCTGTGCTCTAGGGTGGCAGTGGGAGGAGTGTGAGGGGTGGAAGATCAGAGGAAAGGCAGGATATTGGTAACTGGACCTGATTTAAAACATGCCCAAAATGTTATCTTGTCCCTAAGCAAGTCCATTTTTTATCCCTCTAATTATAAATGAGGAGAGGGAAGCCACTGAAAGCATTTTCCTTTTTAACCAGGTTCGCAATGAAAGGACACAGATGGCTCATGACTTAGGGAGGATTGTGTATCAGGTCTGGAAGGTCTCCAAAGAGGGCTCTTCCAGAAGGCTGCAAAGCACCACCAGCATGCTCTCTGCTTCTGTCTCATCCCCTGCCCCATTTGCTTTCTCATTTGTTCTGTGTCCAATCGCTGTCCCCACACCTCATCAATTTCCCTGGCTCACTGAGAATGGTCCACTTACTTCCCGCGGAGACCCCCAGTGCCTGGTGCTGACATCAGAGAGCTTGACTCTATTTGTCCTGATAATCTGGGGACAGATAAAGGCCATTAACGCCTTGCTTAATTATGAATACCCAAAGCAGGCCTACTTGTCATAGACCGGCAGAGCTGGGAAGAGACACATGGTGATCCAGGCTCCATCCTATTTTATTTCTTTTTTTTAAATGAATTAATATGTGAAAGCTCTTAGAACTGGGCCTAGCACGTAGCAAGTGTTTAGAAAATGTTTTCCATTATTGTTATCAGTGCTGTCACATTTATAGGTGGAGAAGTAGAGGCCCAGCAAGGATTGGGGGCTTGCCCAGTTACACAGCAAGTGACAGGCTACAGTGGCACTGGGTCCAGGCCAGGACTATTTCCAAAGCCTCTTGCTACCCTGGGAGGGCTCCCCAGGCTTCCTTTACACCTGGCAACTGACATTTTGAACCCCTGTCTAGGGTCAGTTTTAAGAAAAGGCAAGCAGGAAGCTTCTTATCTGAAGGAATGAATGACAAGTTCTATCCTTCTTCATAAAAAAAGAATCTCTGATTTGATCTCATCCCTTAGTAGCACTGTACTATAGATATCTCCATTTTCTGGATGAAAAAACTGAGTATATACATGCCGTACCTAGAAGCCTGGTTTTAGAAAGTGGTCAATACATTTTACTTCCCATGGGTGGGCACACACCTCTGATGAGTGGAAATGTCACACTGACATTTTTCCCCCACCCAACGTCAGTCTTTCATCCCTTCCACAGTGAAAAATGAGAAATAATGACCAGGAGAGGGAGATAAACCCCAGCTGGGTGGGGCTCACAGGGGGTCAAAGCTGGAAGATGAATGGGATGAAGGGTGGTCAGCTGTTGGGTCAGATGAGAGTGCCTTGGGCAGAGGGAGAGCACCCATTTGTCTTGTCCTTGGACATTGATAGTAAACTCATCCCTGCGCCTGACTTTAGAAAGTGTCTATACTATCTGCTGCTGAGAAGAATGTCCAGATAGAATCCAGGCATGCTGACTAAGGATTTCTGTACCAGTCTGAGAAAGGTGGGTTGGGGCTTGGGTCATCAGGACATCTTCAGACAGGAGAAGAGAGGCAGAGAGTTGAAAATCAGCAAGACACTTGCTTAGGGAATGGCTCCCATGACTGTAATGCTAGGCCCAGGATCCTTTCCAAGATTTGCTAATTTGAAGGGAAGTAAAAGGCAGTCAGTGCTATTTTACCAAGGGGAAGCAGCTCACATAAGGGCATAACATAGTACACTGGTTAAGGACTCTGTTTCTGTAGCCAGGGTTCAAATCCCATCCCCCCCACTAATTCTGTGATCCCTAGCAAGTTACTTAATCTTTTTGGTGCTTAGTTTCCGCTTGTCTAAAATGGGGGAATGAATGTTGCTGTTTCTTGCCTCCAAGAGTGGATGTGAGCATTTGAATTTGGCATACATAGAGTGCTCAGAACACTGCCTGCACACAGTAAGCCCCATGTAAATGTTGCAGTTATGATTGCTGTTATTTAATACCTGCTATGCATCAGGTCCTCTGCCAGCATCAGTCTTCCATTAAATCCTCAGAGCTGACTCTCATGATGAATAAGTGAGTGGAGATGAGATGTGAACCCTGACTATTTAGCTTCAAAGACGGGGCTTCCCTTGGGCCAGGCTGACTCCAAAATTCTTTTAGTTCCCATCTGAAATCTCTCTCTTCCTTGAAATGTCCCCCACTTTTCTCTGTTGGATAAGACCATGGGGTGAGCAATGAGATTGTAGCCATGCAGTGTGCAATGACAAAGCACAAAGTTATCCGCCTTGTTTCTGAGGACAGCATTTGTTGCATGTTAAATGGCCTTTAGGCACACAACTATGGGGCCAGGGTTCCTGATTTACTTCCTGTCTTGTTTTTGGCAGCCTTATAGCTGTAGGCAGTTCACACCACCTCTGTGAGCCTCCTTTTCCTCCTCCTCTGACGTCACAGCATTTTGGCTGGTTGGGCAGATCATGAAGGGACTTTGACAACCAGGAGACCTGCTCATAGATGGAGTTTTGCAAAGATTGGAAGAGGCAGCCTCTGCTATTGCCATTCTAATATCTTCTTCTATAACAAAAAACACAAAGATACCAAACAACATTATAAAAGAAGATGTATTCAAAGCAAAGTGATGATCATCCCTTCTTCCCATCCTAATGGCTCATATCTAGGACTGTACATGTCATGGCTTTTGAAGCCTAATCGACCCTCTGACAAGGTGCTCTGGTCACAGGTTCCAGCCTTGCTGCTACCTCTGACCAAGTGCAGACCAGGCTCCTCGGGGAGGACCACATCTCTATTGCTCAGACTGCCTGACACAGCCTTGCTTGAGGTTCTGTCTGAAAGAAAGAGGCAAATGGTTCTTCCCTTCTCCTGAATGCCTGGCATTCCCTAGTTGCCTGGCTTTTCCCATCAGCTGGCTGGCAGGGCCCTCCAGGTGTCCCGTCCTTGTTCTATGCTTAGCTCAGGCTCAGGATAAAGGTCACATGTCTGTGGAACAGTCCTTCTCTCCTCTGTGTGCTCTCAGCTTTTGGCACAGAGCTTTCTACCTATGCAGGCCCAGAGCTCCAGAGGCCCTGAGTGCCAGAAGCCTAGTTCTCTGGGATTAGCATTATGTCCTAGGCATAAATGGATGAGAGAGCCCACTGACCTAAGCAGCTCAAACCCCGAGACTGGATCTAATGATGATCCAGATAATCCAATGCCCAGCTTAAAGTCTGGCACACAACAAGTGCTTGTAATGAAAGAATTAGTGAGTAAAAGAGTGATCCCTGGCTTTGAGCTCCCTCTAAGGGTACCCCAGGTGCTTGTTCTTCCCTCAGTCACAATGCTGACCCCGCTTTATGAATGGTCTCCTCTCCTTTGATTGTGCATACCAGGGCCAGTCTTGTGTCTTATTTTAGTGTCTTTAGCACCTAGAATAGTATCTAGCCCATAGTACACAAACGTTTAGGTATGAACAGATGGCTGGGTTCTACACTGTATCATTCACTTATGACTTCGAACTGGAAGAGCAAAATTATGGAGCCTATGGTTGTGATTTCAACCTAAGTCACGCTCCTCCCTGCTGTGCATGGTCTAGCAAGCATGAAGAGAATATTATGGGAAAAGCAGATTGGGAGTCATTTGCAGACCTGTCAGCAGCAATGGCTGCAGATACAGCCTTCAGAAGACGGATCAGATCTTTAGAAGACAGAACAAAAACACATGGGCCTGGAATAAAAATTGTTTTCTTGCTCAACTTACCGCTTGCCCAGAATTGGTTCATCTCTTAGGTGGCTGTAAAAGTCCCTCCTCACTGAAAGAGAATGTATTAATTGGGACCCATTCAAGGTTAAGTAGAGCAAAATGTTTCCTAAAGATTTCCTCATTTTACAGAAGAGGGCATTAAGTGTCAGGGTTAAGTAAATTGCTCAAGGCCACCCAACTAATCAGTAATTGTATTTCTAGCTACAGTATATTGAGCAGTACTATGTATTAGCCACTAATATAAGTGCTTTTCATCCATTACCATATTTGATCCTGGGTAAAATAACTTTATGGATTGGGTTTTATTATCTCCATTTGACCGAGGTAGAAACTGAGGCTCAGAGAGATGAAGTAACTTGCCCCGTGCTACCTCATTAGATACTGTCAGAACTGGGACCCATGTCTAAATCTGACAGACTTGGGAGCCTGTGATTCTCAGCCAACAGAATGTATACTTTGGACTCTCCTCTGACACTTGAAAAATAGGCCCATGCCAGAGCCCCACCCTAGGCCAGCTGAATCAGAACCTCTGGATTCTAAAAAAACTCCCTATGTGATTCCAATGTGCCTTCCTGCTTCAGAATGTTAGCATAAACTACTCACCCCTCTGAGCCCCAGGTTTTCTTATCTGAAAAATGGGGGCCACAGGGATCCGGAGATCTTTGTGGGATCTAAAGGACTGCCTGTGTGTGAAAGGGCGCAGCACAGTGCTCACTTGCAGGGGTGCTCAGTAATTGCTGACTTCCTTGTCTCAGCAACCAAGGAGCGCCTGGGGGTCTTTGGGTCTCCTGTGTCTGCACATGACCCCACTTTGCCAAAGACCCAGAACACTGTTTTCTGGGCTTTGGAGTTCAGTTTCCTGATTGTTTGTTATTATTCTTAATAAAATTCAGGAGAAGACCACGAGTGGGCCAGACATCTGTGAGAAATCTGCTGGGTTTTTACAGGAAAGACTGCCCAAATTCACTGTATTCTATATTTCTTGTTTTTCTTTCCAGCTACAACATAGCCAGGAAAATATCTTGCTTCAACTGAAAGAAAACAGCCCATTAGTCTCTGGTGAAAGTCGATTTAGGGAAAATGAGTGTCATATAGCAGAGTGCTAGGACACTTGAAGCCCTCTTTTTAAAACACTCATTCATCTGAAAGGGAAAGGGGTTTTTACTACAAACCTTCCACATAGCAGGACCTCCCACACAGAGGTATGAGGAATATTATCATCTATGTTACAGATGAGAAAACTGAGGCTCAGAAAGGTGACATGGCATCACCATGACCAAGACCCTCACATCTAGTTTGCCTGGCTTTGGAAGCCTAAAGCCTTCTTTATGCCACAACTGTCTGCTTGGGTCTTCTATTTTCTTCCATTATTTTCCAATAACTTTAATTTCATGATAAAAGCAATAAAATTTTAAAAGATTGTTCAAAAAAAAAAAAAAAACCCCAGCAATCTTTCAAAATGTAGCATTCTTGCTATGCTCAGAATCCATAGCACCTAGTATCCCTGATGCTAGTAGATGTGTGATAAATGATTGATGATTGAATGTACAAATGAGTGAATCCACAGCTTACCTACCAGGGCATCCCTTTCTTCCTCAACACTCACCTGGGATTGTGCCCATTTTTGCTTCAACTTCAGACTTTTTCCCATTGCACTGGGGCTGTTCTCCTGGGACCTTTTTTGCATTGTGGGGAAGTCCGCATTCTGGGGCTTATTCATTTTGTGCTTAGCTTGCCTTAGGAATACACAAACTCCTCAGTTCTCTTTCTGATACTCACAGAGTGAGTCCTTGTCTTCTCTGGATTTCTGTTCCATCATAATAAATCATTATCAAATATATGCTCCTGTTTTATTTTTAATATGTCAAGTAATAATAATGGTAATAATAGATAAAATTTGTAGGGCTTCCTTTGTCCCAGTGCTCTGTTGAGCATTTCACATATTGAATAGTATGCCCCAAAAAGTTGAAATTCAAAATGCCTGGTAACTATGAATATGACTGTATTTGGGTCATATTCATAGGGTCTCTGCAGGTATAATTAAGTTAAGGACCTTGAGATGAAATCATCCTAGATTTAGAGTGGAACCTAAATCCAATGACTAGTACTCCTAGAAAGACAGAGAGATTTAATACAGGGAAGAAGATACGAAGATGGAGGCAGAGACTGCAGTGATGAATCTACAAACCAGCAAATGCCAAGGACTGCTGGCAACATCAGAAGCTGCAAGAGAAACATGGGATGCATTCTCCCCAGACCCTGCAGAAGAAACCAATCTTGCCAACAACTTGATCTTGAACCCTTGGCTTCAGAACCGTGAGAGGCTAAATTTCTGTTGTTTTAACCCAGCTAGTTTTTGGTCATTTGCTATGGCACTGTTTATTTCCCAGGAAATACACACACCTATAATCCAGGAGTTACTTTTTATTGAGATAAGAAAACTGAGGCTGGGAAAAGGTTTATGACTTTGCCTAAGGTCACAAAATCAGCAAATGCTTCTAACACAGTTCCAGGCTGGCTTCCTAGACATGCGACCTGTGCAGCTATATGGGGTCCTGAACTCAGCAGAGCCTCTGATTGGCTTGAGGCTCTGCTGTTGTCTTCTGGAAATTTTAGTCTTTCCTTTTTTTAACAAGGGGCCTTTATTATTATTTTGCACTGGGCCTCACAATTATATAGCTTGTTCTGACCGGGTGTCTCTGCCAAACCTCTGCTTTTTCATTCATCATTTGCAGTACAAAAAGCCCACACATATCCTTGATCTCCATTCATCCCCACAGCCACAGCCTTCTAACCTGTCTCTCCATGTGACAGACTGAAAAATGGGCCCCTAAAGGTGATCATGTCCTAATCCCCAGAACTTGTGACCTGACATGGTAAGGGGGTTTTGCAGCTATGATTAAGGGGTCCTAAGATGGGAAGATTATGCTGGATGACCTGGTGGCCAGATGGACTCATAACAGTCCTTATAATAGGGATACAAGAGGAGTTAGAGTCAGAGGAGATGGTGATAGAATGAAAGAAGTAGGGATAGAAGCCATATGCTTTGCAGATGAAGAAAGGGGTTGCCAACCAAGACATATACGTAACTATGGGAGCTGAGAAAGGTGTATGGAAGTAGATTTACCCCTTAGAGCCTTTGGAGGGAACCGGCCCTGCTGACACCTTGACTTTAGCCCAGTGAAACTGAGTTTGGAGTTCTGACCTCCAGAATTGTAAGAGAACAAATCTGTGTGTTAAGCCATTAACTTTGTGATGATTTGTTACAGCAGCCACAGGAGACTAATACACTACTTCCCTCTTACTCTTACCTTACTCATAAAAAGACTCCCTCATACTGTTACTTTTCAATCTGTGGAAGTACTGGAGGAGATAAATAGAACTTTAGTTTAACAGAAAAACATTTACGTAACATTCATATAAAATTGTAAAAAAAAAAAAAAATCACAGGTTTTCAAAGGCAAGATTTTCTTTTGTGACGTTCATTTATTATGCAGGGGAAAAAACTAGCATTTATATTTATATAATCAAAATAATTAATGTGATGTAATAATGACTAGTTTAGAAACATAAAGAACATTTTAAAAGTGTATCTTTTGAAAAGGTCTTTATACTTCTGCTGTAATCTTTCCTTATTCTGAAATGACATTTGTGTTATTTAATGGTTAGATTTCTCCTTAATACCTAAAAAGTTAAACATGAAAATATTGTTTTAAACATAAATTTCATATACATTTCTTTTAGGAAAAAAAAATGAAAGATGATTGTTTAATCATCAAAAATTTTACAACTCCAAACCAAAATAAAAATCAAACCAGAAACCAAAGTCCACTTCCCTTCACTGGACTTTCCAGGTTACATGTCACTTAGCCTTTGCTCAATGTCCCTCCCACATCTGCCACCAGTCCACCACCCTACTCCATGCAACGAAGTGCAGCTGAAAAAGCATAAATTTCAGATGAAATTCTGTTCTAACACTTCCTGCTTGTGTAAGTTTGGGCAAGTCACTTAATTTGTCTGGGTCATATTATGTCCATTTCAGAACTGAGGAAATTAATCCCTAAGGCTGGGTCATAGAGGAAATGAACCACGCCTGGCATGATGCTCTGTGCATTGCAGGTGTCGGGGATGATGCTGTCACATAGGAACTGCTGTCTCCCTTCTTCTTCCAGGTAGCAGTAAACATGTTCAAGATTCACTGCCCAGGGGGCATGATTGTTAGGGCAGAAACAGTGATTTTCAAAGTTCATTTTAGGATTTTCAAAGTAGGTAGTTTGACGCTCCTGGCAGTAAGCAGTTGTCCAAAAGACAGAGCTCGGAATGCCTCAGGCCATGAGGTTTATGCCTTAAACAGCTGAAGACCCAGGGATGATGCCTATTTTCACGCATAAGAAGGGCTTCTTTCTTTCTGAGCTGGCAGAAAGATAGAAAAGTTGTTATAGCAGCAATAAAAAACGGAGTCTCTAGTACAAGTGTCACCTCTTCCCTGTGGGGGTAGGAGGCGGAGGGTGAAGGAATCCCTAGATGGACTTGACTCTGGCACCCAAAAAAGAAGGAGCCTCTGCCCAACATCTGGTGCAGTGAGCCCCACAATGTTCTTATCCCACTTTGCTAGATGATGGATTGAAGGTGGCCATAGGAGATGAATAATAGGATATTTGCTCAGCTTCTTTAACTGAGCAAATAACAGTGGGTTGAATGTGATAGAATGCTTATTTCACATAAAAGTTTAGACTGGCAGGTGGTCCAGGGAGGAAGGGCAGCTTTGCACCACAAATCATCTGGGGCCCTAGTTCTTCTTTTCTTGTTATTCCACTGTCCTTTAGGTTGTTGGTTTAGTCATCTCAGTTTCAGTTAGCTGTCATCTACCTCATTTGCATTTCAGTGAGCTGGAAGGGAAAGAGGAAAAAGGAGGCAATGACTGGATGCTTCCTCTTCAGGGCATGACTGGATGTTTAATACATTGCTGCTTCTCACGTCCTATTGGACAGAGTTTTGTCACATGCTTATCTCTCATTATAAGAAAGGTTTAAAAATGGAATCTCTAGTTTCCTGGCCATCAGACCAGCTAAAATGTATAGCCATGGCACTATAAGAAACAGAAATCAGGATAGAATGGATATTGGGGACAATCAGTAACCATACTCCAGAGATCTCCATAGAAGGGCAAGTATTTCTCTGTTATATCAGTCAGGGTTTGATCAAGGAAGTAGAACCATTGTGATTATTACAGAGTAGGGGGTTAGTTATAGAGATAAGACCATATTTGATTGTGGGAGAAGCTGTGGAAATAAGTCTGAACTGGGCATTTGAAGGATCAGAGAAGATCTCTACCCACCCCTTCTGAGATTCATGAAGGTAGACAAGTGAGGGAGAATGAGGGCACAGTAGATTCTATAGTGTCTACAACTGTCGCTTATCTCTCCTAAATACAACAGCCCTACGAGAGCAGTGGCTGCCGCTTCGCTTTTTCTAAATCTTGCATTGAGTCTTTTGACCAACTCCAACCTGAAATAGTACAAGAAGAATCTGGGGAAATATAATCCTACCTTAGCCAAGTAGACACAGTTACAAACTACTACATCTATGTTGCTGAGAGTGTCAGACATTGAGATGGGGCCGGTCTAGGAGCCACAAGACTGGGTGAGTTGACACCAGCAGTAGGCTCTGCATGGGCTGCTCAGATACTGCAATGGATGCTGCTGCTGAGGATGACATGAGAGACACAGATGTGCTTCCCCACTCCCTCCCTTGTCCCCAGTGCATTGCCACCATACATCAGCCTTTTCATTCTAACACTCCTATCCACCTCAGAACTAAGGTGCAGTCTTGGGAACCAAGATGCAATCTTGGGAGGGAAGAAACCCTGGCATGAAAGGAAAAAAAAATCTCAAAGTGATGACATTAGGATTTCTGCCCTCAAGCAGAATATGCTCTTAGAAGACAAAATAGGGTGCTTTCTAGAAAAACAAGTTACATTTCCTATACACTTACATAGGTTTAGTGAGGAATAGGTCATTAATGAATCTTATCTACCTCCTCCGTTTTTGCTGAGTCCAGCTAAATAAAAGAACATCATTAGTTCCTCAATGGGCCAGGCTTTTGTGTGCTTCCTTCTTTTGTGAACCCCTTTCACTTTTGCCACCTTGATTTTGTTTTAAGTAACCTCATGGTGCATTTCTCCTCCTTGACTTGGTTCAAATGAACACCTTTTCTGTTATTCCTTTTTGGCCTTTACCTCAGCACCCCATGGACAGAGATACTCCCTGCTCTGTCTCCTCAAAGCCACAAGGATTTTGGTCAAACACTGTATGTGCTCCCGACTCAATCTAATGTCTCCTGAATTAAATTGTGAGGCACAGACCTCAAATATCCTACATCTCTGTAGGCCTGCATCAGGGACAAGGCTTTTTGACTCATAGATTGGATTGACTTTTCTCCAAATTAGGAGCAAATCAGATGATTATCCTATTCTGAAGAGAACACTGCTCTCTAATTATGTAAATATAAATTGTACACACACAGAATTATCTCCTAATATTATTTCATTGTGTCGATCAAAATATAAACCATCTAAGACTGTATGGAACAGGGATCTTTGGGTCTTCAAGTGTTCACTGTGAGTTTTGTTTTTCATTCACTGATGTGCTTCCCAGGTCCTTTCCTCTTGCCTGTATTGTAGAGAAACATCTCTTACTTTAGGCTCTTGCTATATGTATAGTTTTCAGCACCTGCTGTGACAAAGAACCATAAACTGGGTGACTTAAAACAATATAAATGTGCTTTCTCACAGTTCCAAAGGGTAGATGTCCAAAATCAAGCTGTCACAGGGCCATGTTCCCTCTGAAAACTCTAGGGAAGGACCCTTCCTGGCCTCTTCCTAGCTTCTGGTGCTCCAGGCAATCCTTAGTGTTCCTTGGCTTTTGGACACATCACTCCAATCCCTCCCTCCTTTGTCACAGGCATGTTCACTGTGCATCTCCTCTGTGTCATCACATGGCTTTTTATAAAGATGTCATCTAGTATGACCTAACTTTAACTTAATTACATCTACAAAGATCCCATTTCAAATAAGGTCACATTTACAAGTACTGGGGATGTGGACTACAACATACCTATTTGGGGGCATAATTCAATCCAGAGCTGATACCATGATTTATATTCCTTGTACCTGGAGGCAGATGTATTTTAAGCTTTGATACTCCCAACGATACCTGACACTAGTCAGCCATGGTGTCAGTCCCAGCTGGAGCCCTGCCACGCAGAAGTCTGGCCTCATGACATTTGACAGATGCAGTAGGCAAAAGGGCAGGGTATTAGGTCACTGCCTCTGAAGCTGTCATGGCCTCATGCATGAAATCGCACAATCCTTGATGTACTATAGCAGGAAGAACCGAGGCCAGAGTGGAGCACTGGCTCTCACTAGCATGCTGTGACCTGCACAAGTCACTTTTCTGAGTATCAGGTCATTACTTTATTGTTTTGTATGCATCAAAGAGCAGACACTTACTGAGCATTTGCTATGTGCCAGAACAGGGGCTAGGGCCTGGGATACAGACATCTTTAAAATTCCATCTTCAGTTAACCTAGCATTCATGGGGGATACATCACTCACTTGTGAGGTCTGATGCAGATCCAAGCTCTCTGATACATAACATGCTTTGCACATGTCAGCAGCAAAGACGACTCTCAGGGTTTGGGGTGGAAGGCCTTTGTGACAACCCCATGCATGGTTCCTCCATTAGGCCTTTGATACCTGTAAAGACAGCAGCTTGAAATTCAGAGGAGGACGTTCACATTTTATTCACTTATATATGAATTTAAGCACTGATGCTGTTCCAGCAGAGGGCTAGGTTCTGAAGATGCAGCGGTGAGCAGGGCAGGCACTGGCCTGACCCAGGGGACTTCCAGTCGACTGTAGACAAACATTCAGTAAGTGACAAGTTCTGACTTTCCCAGAAACTCTTGCTTTGGCCTTAAAGATTGAATTTTTTTTTTTCCAAAGATTTCAACCTTGTATCTCAATGGATTCCAGACATAAACCCAGTCCTCTGACTTTGCTACCTTTCTACCTTATCAAACTGGTCCTTTAGGAGACAAAGGCAGGGCCTGCCACTGCTCAGAGAAGAAGTGTTGTACAGCTTCCATGAAGCCCTATCAGGAAAGGTACATGCTAAGGGTTAAAACATTGGCATGGGGAAGAAGTTCTATCATTAGGGGGGCATATGGATACATACAGATGCCTGTGACTGTGTGTGTGTGTGTGTGTGAGAGAGAGAGAGAGAGAGAGAGAGAGAGAGAAAGCAGAATAACATGCACACAACCTATCATGTGGGTTCCTAACTCCAGACTTCACCTTTCAACATAAAAGTTTTAGGTTGAATCTTGGTTGGGTTTAGCATTGCATTCACTCTGTTGGGGTCCCTCTTCCATAAGATGCATAAGATGTTTGCCCACAAGGAACAGGAAGTCACTCTTACCTGGAATAGCACTT